TTGTGGCTTTCCTGGCGGAAACACAATCGGGTGATTATGCGTGGATGAAGGACGCTTCGGATCATAATCGGAAGATTTCCAAAGGATTCAAATGTGATTGTGGTCACACTTACGCCAAACCACTTCCGGCATTTGACGCTGGTAAACCCGAAAAAGGCGGGAAGAAGACAGACAAAAAAGGCAAGCAAACTAAAGCGAAAGCGGCAGCAAGTGGCGAATCCGTGCCAGACATAATAGATTATGCTTCAAAGGAGCGTTTTGACAAATCAGTAAAACCAAAGTCAAACGATGAACTTTTTGGATACGGTTTGATAGTATCAGGTCCCCCGCATAGACCAGCTTTAACAACGCCCTGCGAATTTATCAAACTAGAGTCTTTCGAAGCAATGAAAAAAGCAATAGGCACTGTCAAAAGTGTTATGAAGGAAGACATCAAATTCTTCCTCCCCATGTATATTACCCCTAACCATGGCTCCATGATTAAAGAAACTTTTGAGAAATGCTTAAACGAGGTGGCAGCTATTTTACCGAAGTGTAAGCCGAACAAAACTCCCCTTAAGGACCTCGTCATTAAGGTCATACCCAACTTGATGAGCGCCACGGTGGTGGAGTTTTCCAAAGGGACGCAACACACTAGCGAAAACAGCCTTAACGGTTACTTCTCCCTGCATAGGCTGTTTCTGTGGGCATTGGACACGTACCCAGAATTACAAGGGGAGATCGACTCCAGGCTAAAGGTTTATTTAAAAATTAATTCTTCAGTGTTCAGCCAGATAATTTAAATATTGTAAACACGTCTTCAAAAAAACTATTTGACTTTTAATGGCTTTATAATGCATTTAATACCCTCATAGGTCTTTATTGATGATGTGAGTCAAAGAAGCAAAAAGGCATGTCCTCACATTGGAGAATGGTTGATGCTACTAGCCGCTTCTTTCAAGTACAGGTTAGTATCCAACTCTGGAATACCATTGATTTAACCAGGGACATTCTTTGACGTGCAAAATATTAAATGGCTTGCAAACAAATTGTTTTCTGAACTTGTATTAACTTTTCAACTTATTGTATAGGTGGCAAGATGCTGCTTGGGCCTATCTGTCAGAAAGCTTTAAGAGAAACGTTATGTGGTACGTCAAGGAAGACGCTAAACTGGGCATGCTCGATACTGACAAGGACTACCGGATCCGGGAAACTCTCCAGAGGACGCTAGTTAGCCGGAAGTTGCTAGCCTTCCAGGTAAAATGCTACATGTAGCTAGTGATGCATACTATAGTATACAAAATGGACTCTTTCATTATTTGAAATGAAACATTTAATTTCAACCAAGCTTAACGGAAAGAAATTTGGGAAAGAACAGAATTTGGAAATTCTTAACATAAATATTGACCATCCTCTGACTCTCTCTTTAGGCAATTAGCAGTCCACTTAAAAAAAAATGCTAAACGATTCCCAAAAAGTGTTTCTTATCATAAATTAAAAGAAAGTCTTTGTAAGCAACAATTATAATTTCAGGAGATATCAATCTTTGCTAAGGGACTAAATATTGCCTATTTTTTCGTGACAGCTAAAGATAGTGCAGATATTTAATAACTATTTAGTTCTAAATACTGATTAACAGGTACTCTTTCTGGACATCGCTATGCCCAAAGGTAAATCGAAAGCAGACCTGGTCAAGCGGTACGATAACAACTTAGGCTTTCCTACTGAAGAAATGGTGAAACAGATGAAGGAATCTGTCCAGCTCATCAATAACATGAAAACCTACGCCGATTGGTTCAATGTAAGTCACGTGACCACAGAGCTTATTTACATAATATTTACATATATATTTACATATTCAAATGTCTTTATCCAAAATAAAACTACTACAAATAAGGTAAAGACTTTTTAGTCAGGGGTCAGAGGAAAATGTTCTATAAGGGGATTTTTTTTTTGGGGGGGGGATATAATGATGATCAATCAGTTTACTTATCTGATAATTTTACGTCAGTATATATGCAAGTTTTCACTCGAACAAAGTGTTTGAACTCATCATAAAACCAAACAGATAAACAATTGTCTCTTAAAATATTATTTTAGGTCCTAAAGATCAAGCCCCTGCGAGATGACGAGGTCTTTGATAAGCTGGTGTCCGCGGTTCAGTATGCTATTGATACGGACGGCTACCACTGGACATTCTGGAAGACAGGGGGAGGGTGGGGAGAGGTCCTCCGCAGATATAAACCTTATAAAAAGAAAGAAGGTAGGTATACAGGCCAGGTAGCTAGGTGCTTATTTTAGCTGTGTGTAGCCAGTGGGTGTATGCCAGGGGTGGTACGTATAGTTACTGTATCGTTTCTGAGGGCCAGGCACCAAAAAAAAAAACACCTACATGTATGTTATTAAAAGCTGACAAATCAAAAAAATAAAGGGAAAATTGTCCAAACCCCAAAATGACATCCTTCTGGTTCAAATTTTACTCGTACATTCTAATGCATTTCCAAAAGTATAAAAAGTTATGTCTGGACAAAGTGGAGGCATGTCCCTTGATCCTCCCTCCCCCTCCCCGAATGATACTAGCTACGTGCCTATAGGGTTTAGTATCAGGTCTCTGTAACTTTTCGCCATATTATTACCATCTATCTAAACTGTTTCAATAGTCTTGATTGAAATGGGACAACTAAAATTCGTCTTTTTAAAACATTTACTTTTCTTAACAGACAAAGATGCTGGTAAGAAAAAGGCTGAGGATGACGATGAAGGGCCTAGTGCAAAGAAGAAAAAACCTGCCCTGAAAAAGGAAGACTCGAAACCAAAAGGACGCGGACGAGGGGGCAAAGGGGCAGCAGCGGCAGCTAAACCCGCGGGGAGGGGGGCTAAGAAAGCCGAGGAACCGGAAGCACCTGTGGGAAGAGGAAGGGGGCGTGGTCAGAAACGAAAGGCGGAAGATCCTGCACCTGTGGGCCGGGGACGTGGAGGGAAAAAGAAGAAATAATATACTGTATAACATGAGTGGAATTGTGCATTTAGCTTATTATACTCGCGATGTTTTTGTTTTACAATACAGAAGATGAGCCTCTAAAAATATGACAGACAGTGAGGCAACCACTTATACGTACCTTAGAAGTTGAAAATGGATGTTTCTATATAGGATATAGTTATTCATTGTTAATAATGCCTTGTGTTTCTATAAGACAATCATGTTATAGTATTCATTATTAATCATCGAATTAATACAATGTCCACATGCATGTATCATTAACTAATTCAGATGTGTATTTATCGTCCTTTAACATGTGTTTTCAAGTCTTGCACAAGAAATAGAGTGTATATTTGATATGTACCATATTTGAAGTTATAACTAAATAAAAGTGACTTAGACTTTTTTTCTTGACTTCACAGCAAGGCTACTTACATGTAACACGCTCGTTTATGCAGTCTGTCAGAGATCTACGTAAGGTCAAAGCATGATGCAGTGCAGGGACCTAGCATAGTTTTCGAAAAAGGGCAGTCAGAGAGAAAAAACTGAACTTGCCTCAAAATAAGAAGTCCAAAAAGGAGAGGGGAAACGGCTCTTAAATGATCATTTCCAATTATGAACAGTTATGTGTCCCCCCCCCCCTTTCCTCTGCAGTGGGTATTTAGTTTTGCATCCAATGTCATGCTGTCCTTCCTCATACTAGTATTATGCGCTATCTAGGTAGATAATCCACCTTTCCCTCACGCCAGACGCTGGTTAATGCGAAACAAAGTGATAAACGCACACTCTGTCAGGTGTCGGATTTTTATCACTGAAAATAAACAGAAACCAATTAAACTGACCAAATCTTAATTAAACCATATCTCTAATGAACTCCTACGACAATCTATTTTGGGAAACTCAGGCAACAAAGACTGTGTCATGCACTCTCTCAACTGTTCTTATTTTTATTAATTTTAAATTAAGAATTTTCTAATCAACTCTCATTTAAAAAAAAACTATATTCAAGTCGAATTTGGATTTGTAGGAGTTTAATTTCAGCATATATGTACCACAGAAATTAAAAGATAGGTTATTTTGATTACTTTTAAAAATACGAATTTTCTAATCAAACCCAACTTCCCATATTTGATAATGAAAAAAAAAAAATCTTAAAATCATTAATGACCTACGAATTTGGATTTGTAGGGATGTTTTGTAGCATGAGAGCTCGAGTGAGCTTTTCTGATCACCAGTTATCCATCGTCCATGCGTCTGCCTGTACGTCTGTACACTGTTTTCACATTTTCTTCTCATACAAAACATCATTGGTTAAATGTGACTTAAAATTGTCAATATGAAGGGCCAATTAAGGTCTATAATTTATTTTGAAACATTTAGAAAAAATATTTTTAAAAATTTTCAATGAAAACCACTTGAAAAATTAAACATATTCTATCTCACTATTTCATATTTTCGTTTGTAATTAAATATAAATCCTTGCCATTGACTTTGTTTTGTTTTGCACAAAATGAAATAATTATGTTTTCAATTTAAAATCATGTTTATAAAGACAATTGTTTTCGAAAATTTTTTTCTGATTTTTATAATGTATTTTAATACAGAAACAATTTTCAAAAAAAAATGTATTCGACAAATCAATTTCTGAAAGTATTCTTTTCTGATACGCTACTCTCCAAAATACGGTGTTCATAAAAATCATGTTTTTCCAATTAATTTACATCACATTCAGCTTTTGCGCCTACACACCCCAACGATCTTATGCAATTCTATGAATAGCTATGGTGTCATCCAATATCTTCTAAATATGTGATTAAGAATCTATATTGAAGCTTCCGATCTGTACTATAAGTAAAAAACAAAACTATTTTTTTATTAATAATAATTACATAAATCGGATAATATTAAACATATTATTTCTTGTTACATGTACTGAATGGTCAAAAGTCACACCATGGAACACGGGAGCTAACTCCTAAGCAAGTTTAGACGGATCGTCGAGAGTTATCTTGCCTTGTTTGATGACGTACTTCCTGGTTACATGTAACTACGGAACATATTTATACTGCTGCCGTGTTGTCAACCAGTTGACAGGCAGAAAATATAGAGATTGTTTTATTGTTTATACCACTTCAGCAGTATTCATATCACCATGTTTGATGAAGCAAGCATCTACAATCTTATTCCTACAGAGGAAGAGAAGAAAATCAAACAACCAAGGTAAAAAAACAATGGTTTTACAAATGATCATGTCTTTTCCATATTATTAAATCTCATAGTTTTGTGTACCGCGTAGTTGTAGGGTTTTCATAGCATAAATAATAAGTTTAAGATAAAAGTGAAGCTTGAAAAAAATTTCTAGACAAGCCTGTTTATATTTTCTTACTTTAAAAAATCTCAAACTTATTGCATGTGTACCATTCATTTTGATTTTAGCAACAGGCATTTCTGAGCTAGTTCTTTTTAACAAAAAAAAACTATCATTCTTAATATGCATTCTTTTGGGTAACAAAGCTTTTGAAGATCTTTATACATCATCAAAATGATAATTCTTGCTTGAGAATTTTAAAATGCACAAACTTGCAACAATGTTCAAAGTCAAAACAAACTTTAGGGTACCCAAAATTGCAACTAGAACATAGTGTATAGAAATGACATGGAATTAATTATTTATCGTTATAAACAGGTACACTTCCAAGTTCCGTGATAATGTGAAACAGGAATATGTATCTGGTAGAGGGGATCACAAGACCATGGGTCAGGCTAAGGTCCCAGTCCCAACAACAGACGATTTCCTGAAGAAACGTTCCAAGGATATTATCCTACCTAAAGGTAATGCATGTATTTCATTTATGAATACATTATATCTTTATCAGGATTGCAAATCACATAATTTCATATATTAATTTTGAAGTTAACTTTACTTACATTATTTGTACTTTTCAGTGTTTTTTTTCTGAGGGACCAACACATAAGATATTAATTTGTAGACTAAGGAATTAATGCACATACACATACAAAGAGAAACATTTCTGAAATTTTGTTTCATTTCTAATATTTTAATACTCATAATCAATGATAATCTCGATGGAGATTTGACTAGGCTAGATAATTGGTTTGACGTCCACCTAGCAAATATCTAGCCCAGCTGAATCTCCATCGAGATTAATTTAATGATGATATAGTCTTGTCATGGAAATAAGAGTATAATATTGTAGAAGCAAGATATATAAATAACCTCAATACTGTATTTTTCTAAATAGATCTTCCCCCAGATCAACAGTTTCATTACCCTGATGAAAACAGAAGGAGACCCCCAGTACCGAAGGTGGACGACAAGCCCCTGATGGGTCTCAAAACCTCCAAAAACTTCATCACAACAAACGCTGTGCAGAACATAACATCTGTCCCCAGACAACCACAGAAAATCTATGTTGACACAAGGGGTGGACACAAAAACTTGCTGGAACCATCTGGTTTAGAACCTATCTACACCAGTAAGAAGGTGTGTACTTAAAAACATACTCAGTGCTTCAGTTTAGCACAGAACATATATGTATGTACTGTCTTAAAGATGTTTTGCTTCTTCCTCTTCTCAATATATTCAGTGTTTTTTTTTCTTTTCATTTTGTTTAATGAATGAAATATTTAATTTTGATGTGATCCCTTTATAGGACTTTGGAGAAACACCAAAATACCTAAGCAAAAGAAAGGAAGAAATGAAGAAAGCACAAGAGGAATATGATGCCTATGTAGCTGAGCATTTCAGGAGGGGGGCCATGAAATCTCTCTCACAAGAAGAGAGGGCAGCTATTCTCAAGGGACTTAAACAAAACTGGGAAGAAATTCACGACCAATATCAAGGATTATCAGTGGTTCCTGATACAGCCCCCAAGAAGAACAGGAAAGAACGAATGGAGGCCGAAATGAAACAGCTAGAAAGAGACATTGAAACCATTGAAAGGCACAAAATCATCTATATAGCTAACTAATTAAATGGGGATCTTTTCCTTTGGATATTTAAATTTTTCTATGTTTTTATTGAAGACTATTATCAATTGAGGAAAAAATATTGAAAACTTTGTGTTAGCCTAACACCGTATTGTTCACATCATGCAGAAAATCTACAAAATGGATTACAGTTCTTAATATATGCTTTAAACTGGAAAAACTGAATTGTGTTGAAAAGTTTTCTCCTCAATATATTTATACATATATGTAATACACTTGATATCAATTCTTGTCATAATTCAGAATTTCCTTGGAAGCAGAATAATTATATACATTTTTTGTTAATTTTATGAGGTACTGAGTGCAAGAGAGAGTTTGCTCATCTTTATGTTCATGTTGAATGAATATAGTAAATACATGTAAATAAAATCAACAGTCTTGAGATTTAATTTCTGAAAGAAAAAAATACCATTGCAATGACAAAGGAGTATATATGGCAGATGTAAACAGGGAATGCTTACTCCTTCATGGCACCTGATCCCACCTCTGTTTGGAGTTCACTCGGTTACCTATTTGTATTGTTTCAATGGAATTTTTAGCTTGAATACTGTTTCTCAACTTATGTGATATATGACATTCAAGCAATTTTTCCAACCTTCCCCCTTCTGAAAAGATATTACAGTAACTATATTAATTAATAGCATAACAAAGATGACTTAAACCAGCAGTTCAACAGCGCTGAGTTTCATAACTCGAGTTTGGAGGGACTGATCAGAAGCATTTATGCCTGCTAGGACTGTTCAGTAATTTTTTTTAAAACCATAACTAAAGTACACACTTGATTTTGAAGGCTTTAAAATGGAGCAGTTGGTCAACACTTTAGAGATGTATGCATTTCTACATTGTCTCCAGCTGCAGTCTGTAGTCCAAATAAAGCACTCTCCAGAGGAGAAGTGGATCATGCATTTTGGGTGTGGTTTGCAATGATGGCATTTCTTACAAGGATATTACTATTCAATAATGAACCCATCCCCTTTTAGTTGCTCAATTATGAGGAAGCAAAACTTAATACAAAACTAAATCATTAAAGATTTTGTTTGAATGAAAAAAATCTCTTTCTTTTAATTAGTGAAAAGTATACATGTAACTATCTGGATCACCTCATTACAGAAACAATATTTGACCATTTGGGCACTGTTTAAACTTCTAATTAGTTTATGGATAAAAAATATCTTTATAGACATATCCATATTTTTGTACAGTGTACTATCATTAAAATTTTTGCTTTTATATGATGCTGATGGTAAGAATAAAAAAAATCGATTCATTTTCCCATAAAAAAGGGAAGAGTTGTGCCCCTTCAACCATAAGAAATTCTCTTCTGTGCAGAATGTCTAGGTAAAGATTTATATGATATCACTGAACAATCCTCACTTCTGCAACTAACTTTAAAACTACTGTATGTATCTTGAAGAGATAAATGATTCATCTCTACAAGATACATGTTTTTAAAAAAAAAAAAAAAAAAAAAAGTATGTTACACCTGTGATGGGATGGGAGAAAATGTATAGGTGGCCCTGGAATCAAACCCAGGACCCCTGTATCACTAGTCAGGTGCTCTACCAAATAATCCATCATGGTCAATATTCATGACCCAAAGCATATTCGTCTTTATATTTTCTACAGTGAAATTTTGAAAAGTTCAACAGGATCAGTTATTCTATTATTTTTTTTTTATTGCACACATTTTTTAACATGCAAAACTTTCTAAATTACACACACAAATCTTTAAAATACATCCTGTCAAATTCAATCTACGACAATTAATATTACCACAAGCATGAACAGGGGTATGAAATGTGGAAGATTGAACTAATATAAATGCTTGGTAATAATGATACTTCAGCAATTCTACACACATTTTTAATATGTACACTTCATTTTATCCTGGTCGGGTTACCAGAAACACATTATTTTAATTTTTCAGCCTCATCAGTTGTCCATCATGAGCGCGTCTACAGCACTCTGGGCCTCCATCCCCATAGCTGCCTCGTCCACAGCCTCCTCGGACCTGGCTAGGCCTCGGGTCACCTCGCGATCACTCCTCCTCGACTGTTCCTGTTCCTGGTAAATCTTCATCTCTCTCTCGTATTGTTCCTTCTCATGCTCGTACATGTCAAAGTAAACCTACAAGATTTCCAGATGTATATTTACTAGCAATTATAGATTTCTCCTCTCCTTCTATATTCATCATGTTTGTAAGTTTTAATTTCATGAAGGAAATTATATTTATGACAAATTAATTATGTCCCTTGGCATGACAAGTACATTTTGTATCTCTTTAAAATTTACAGTTTTAGAATGTAGAATGTGAGAAAAGATACATGCATGTTTATGAATTTTCACTATATAACAAAAGAAAAGGGGAAAATCATTTTTTCCCAACTCGCACATTGTAAGTGATTTCTTTCCCCACATATTTCACTCTCAGATCACAGTAAAATATACGCAGAGGCTCAGTAGGACTGTAAGAATCATAACACAAATAAGTTCAACTATGAAAATCTTCTATGTTTACATAGAGTACAACCAGAATTGGTACAAGAAAAATGAAAACCTGATACTTATACATACCTTTTTCTTTTCTGGTTTGAGAATGTTCCACTCCAGTGCAATTCTGCGAGTTAATTCATGGTTGGATATTTCTTCATGTTTTTCCTAACACAAAAATTAAAAGGAACTTTTAAAATGATGCTGAATGAATCTTATATTTCTTTTGTCACACAGATTAGATGCAAAAAGAACTTCACAAATTCCTTAAATAACAAATTAACTACCAGTGCTTTCATTCCTAATCAAAATCTGGTGCAAACTAGTTATGAATTGACCTTGCTTTATATCATTACTTGTATTATCATGTACCGTATAGCGAATTATTTTAGCAGGATGCTAATTTTGGCTTATTTTGGCTTTTTGATGGTAGCCCGCTAAAATTTTAATAGCCAAAATAGTCAGAACTCTTCTTAGTGTCCATCTGCAAAGAGCTGGAACACTGTGTCCGCTATAATTATTTACTCCAAAATTATTGGCATACCTTTGAGCAGGTAAAACGCCAAATTTTACACCCGCCAAGAGAGCCCTCTATTATCCCCCAAAATTAGTATAGATTTCAGTTAACTGCTTCTTTTCGCTCTCCATTCCAAGAGAACTATGGATATCTCAGAATCTGACATAATGCCAAAAGAAATAAATTTGGTGTGATGCATACTATAACACACCTTAAAGTAATCCTCTGCCACTGCAGTTCTCCGATGCTGACAAAACAATAAGAAGGCGTTAGCGGGTTTCTTGGGGCCGACAAAATCCTTTACTTTCTCTGTCTTCTTCTTAGATTTACCTAATATACACAAACAAACCAAAATTTAAAAAAAAAACAAAACAAAAAGCCAGTTTAATGCAATTTAAAAGGTTTGTAATTATTAATTTCTAGGTTTCATGTTTGTACAAAAAAAATTACTAAAAGGGGAATATATACAGTAGTTACATTTAATTTTTTTTTCCTTTTGTTTGTTTTTTTTTCAGTAGACTTATACTTACTAGAGGAGACTTGTCCCATGTCTGCTAGAACTCTAGGGCTAACAGCCGAAATGATGTCAGAGGAATGTTTGACCCCTTGTGACCTCCCATCACTGCTTTTCATTGGTCGAACTGGGTCATATATCTTGTCTTCCTGTCAAAGAATTTACACCAGTTTGTTTTAACCATTTTACTTTCATAATGAAAACAGTATATATGTAAAAATAAATTTGAATCATTATCCAACAGACACATGTAAGTCAGAAGTTTTATTATTAAGACTGGATAACTGGATCACCAGTAATCGAGTATCCTTATTACAAATGGTTAAGAATATCAGGTAATGGTTAAAGGTATCAGATTGTCGTTTTTGAACATTTCACAAAAGCAAACTGCTTTCCTTCAAAGAATAACACTGACATTTAAATTTATTTTTACTAAAAATTAAATTTAATATTTATATGTACGTTTACTTACTTCCCACATGACAGGAATCGGGGCATTTCTGTAATCATCTCCATGTTCATCCAGACGGTTAGCCAGAAACCTAAAACACAAAGGGTATTTACAGGGGTATGTACCAGATTCTCATCTAAAGACATCTTTGGTTAATGTCTCATAATGACACATTTTTCTTTGCTATATAAGGTTTAAATAAAATGAGTCCATTTATGAAGTATCCCTATCTGCATTAAAACTTTAGTTACTGATAAGATGCTGATTCAAGATTCCTTGTGCATGCATCTATTGTCACCTAATACATTATTCATTTTCACAGCATGATACACAAAACATGTGTACTTGTTAAACATGTGCACAAACAGTGACAAGCTCATGTTCAGGGTTCGAAATTAGCGAGAAATACTCGCAAAATGCGAGTTGATTTTTAAAACAGCGAGTAAAAATAGAAGACACTCGAAATTTTTAGTGAGTGGTGTTTTTGACCCAAGTAGTCTTGTATCCATATTTTTCTGGTAATTCGTCTTGCTTTTTTGAAATTTGAAAAGAGTCACAATGCATTCGCCTGATTCGGTAAACCTCGGTTGATTCTGTCACCATTTCCCAATCAGCTGATGCAATTTATACAAAAATGTTTCATTGTAGTTTATTTGACATATAAAATGTGTCAACCTTGTCAAAATTTACCTTAAATAATCATTAGTTTAACACCAAATAATTTCTCCCATGACTTTTTGAAGATCGTTTTCTGCAGCTAGACAGCCATGTTAGGTGCCCGCTGTAAATATCACACCTGGTTAATTATGCCCGGGATGTTTGACCCTATTATTCAGTAGCCAAAAATCCCACCTACATACCCTTGATCATATTGATTTTCTTTTTTGGAATGTTACAGGAATTACAGGAAATAAATATATTTTAATTTTTTTTGTGTGTGTGTGTTTTTTTCTTTTAGGCCAGATTACCTTTTTTTAATGTAAAAACATTGATGTTCTTAATTCTGTACTGACCTACTATAGAAGGACCTGTATTATTATTGATTTAAATGAGCATGATAAAGACATTTAATCCTTCTTTTAATTTTAGCTTGTTGATCTTCATTTTAGCCTGTAGATTTTATATGTATAGGCTAAAATTAGCCTGTGGTTAAAAAAGTTAATTTCGATCCCTGATGTTAGTGGATAGCTCCTTGGTAAAAAGCAGTATTACAGACCTCCTCTCTCGTTTGTATCTTTTGATGAGTTTCTTTACGTGTTGTATCCTATTTACAATCTTCTCATTGGCCTGCAGGGAGAACGTAAAAAAAAAAATAATAATCAGCTGCTCATGTAAGCAAGGATACTTCGTAGAATACTGTAAACCAAGTATTATACGCGTGCGATAAATATTAGTTTTACTAAAAACCTCTTTAATATTAATCGTCGCGAACCAGTTGTTCATTTTCCCATGTTATGATTAGAGTTATTTACCCTTTTTTGAATACCGATCCACAACGGTTCAACAAGTAATCATCTAAAGAACTTTAGTGTTCTAGAAGCAGTTGATATTTAATTACAAAACATTCAGAAAAAATATATAAACGAAATCAATGGCAAATCTAAAACTATTTGTCTAAAAATGATTAAAATGTCAATAATTATGTAAGCTTGTGTTATTATTGTTCATTATTGTCACAGACGAGTTAGAGATAGCCTGGTTAATTACGACTAATTATGGCCCAGTCCTGCTCTGTCCCAACCATTTATAATAATTGCCCTTTGGCTATGTAGATCTTGTAAAGCGTCAATTACCCAATTAGCATGAGGTACTTTTACACTTGAGAGTTTGAAATCAACTTTAATTTCCTCGATTTTTTCCTGATTTTCATTCGAGCGTCGTGAATAATGCGTAAGAAGTATGCTCATGGTAACATTTTATCTACTTTAGGTGCAGATATAAGATTTTAAATGGAAGCAATGCACAGAATGTCTTGAATGATAATGCGTAAGCAGTACTCACGGTAGCATTTTACCTAGTTTATGGGCGGATATAAATTTTTAATTTGAAACCCAAAATATATGTGGAAATAAAAAAAAATATGACCACTTGTTCGCGGAAATAAATCGTCGCGGATTAGTTCTCTAGCGGTCAGTCGCGAATAAAAAATGACGCGTATAATAATTGGTTTACAGTAGGTCCCTGATGAAGGTATCATATTTCCATTTCATTTGTTAATGAACAAGAATTACATACATTAATTTACATTTATTTTGGAAACAATGATCCATATCAACAAAGTGTTTTTATGATCATTGACAGATTTTTATATTAAAAAAGAAATACATAAGCCTAATCTATGTCAAACGGTGAAACTAAATATGCCTAAAAACAACACCAAAATTCTGAAATTGAAAACCCTCGGCGTCGGAGACTTTACCTGCTGCAACTGTTCACACTTTTTCCTCAAGGAGAAATATTTTTGCAAAAATACGTTTTCGTTTGTAAGAGTCTCGAGTTGTGCCTCAAGTGCCTCAGTCATTGCCGACACTGATCTATGAACAAAATGTCAAAACAGTGGAAACATTCGCAAAATAAAAATTCTTCTAGGTTTTCTCTTTTTATGAATTACGAACCCGACTTGTATTTTTTTTTTAAATTTCAGGCGGATCTAGGAAATTTTAACATTTTTAGTAAAATCCTATCATACAATGTAGTTTAAAAATTAATAAAATGTGAAATTGGGTATAATGTAATAAAATAAAAATAAATAAAATCATTCTGTAACTCTTTGTGTCTTAGAAATGGACAGTATTACTTTGTGATGATTGTGAAGGGGGAGGGGGACGGGGGGGGGGGGGGTCAAGGGATCTGGACCCCTCTCCCTCACTTTTTGAGTAATAAAAATGACCTAAGACACCAGTCCCTTTTTAGAAAAAAAAACAGATCCTGGTAAAATGTTATGGAGAAAAATATGCATGAACGAAGGAAAAGACGACTTTCCTTTTACCCCCATATCCCCGCCGTCTCGATCAGGTCTCTCATCAGGTTTTGACATTTTTATGCGCCCGAATCGATAGATCCGAGGCGTATATTGTTTTTTCCTGTCTGTTTGTCTGTTTATCTGTTTGTCTGTTTGTCTGTTGTCAACTTTAAACTTCGCCATAACTTTTGAACCATGAGAGATGGAGACTTCATATTTGATATGCATACTCCACCGATGAAGCACTTGCAAATGACACCAAGGTCAATGACCTTGTGACCTTGACTGTGACCTATATGCTAAAAATAGCTTTTTCGAACTTTCGCCATAACGTATGAACCTTGAGAGATATAGACTTCATATTTGGTATGCCTACTCCACTAATGAAGTTCTTTCAAATGACTCCACGTTCAATGACCTTGTGACCTTGACCTATCTACTAAAAATAGTTTTTGTGAACTTTGTTGCCGCCGGGCGCATAGTGTTTCACAAACACGTCTTGTTTTCTTCTGAATTTATTGTTATTTGCTTATTATTTCTGTTTGTACACGCTACACTAAAAACACCCTGCGGTTTTTGTTAATTTAAAAAAGGGGGTGGGGGTTACAGATATGTTCATCATTAAATTAAACTACCCATGCACTGGCCAAAAGAATTTTGAATTTTTAAGACATGTATTCATTTTTCTCTGAAAAAAAATCTTGAAATCTTGTTTTTACTATATACATTTATTATATATAGGCGCACTGTGGGTACATGTATTCATTGTACCCATTTGAGAAAAAAAAGTAGACTGAGCACCTGCTGTGCTGTGCACTTTCATAAAGATGTAATGATTAACGCTGAGTGTAAAGATATACATACAGACTGCATTTAAGTAATAGAAATCAACAGTTGGTTTATGGTTGATTTGCATACAATACATTTTTGATAACTCAATTCAAAAGAAAATCAGTCAATCATATCTTTAACTGAAGACAAAGGCAGTTTAACGTCAGTCTTTTCTAATTTTTACAATAAAAGTTAAACTCGGGTTAAAATCTGAAATTCGATCCTTTGCTGTCTTAGATATTTGGTAATTCATAAGAAACAATGTGTAGTGGGAACAAGTAACTTTGTTATAAAGAAAGGTTGGTCGTCATCCGAAAGACGTAAAAAGTTTACATTTTTTGTACTTCTCTTTGTTATAAAGATTAGACTGTGCAAAATGTGATATGTCAGAACCTCAGAAACTTCAAATACCCAGGTAAGTTTTATTTATTTACCAGTGATATTTACTTTTAAATATAATTTACTGCCATGACTGCTTGTATCAGGCATAGAGCATCTGACAGGGGGAATGGGGGTGGGATCAAACTTTTTTAAAATGAATCATCCCCTAGTAAGCCATTTTTGTTGCAATATATAGTCAACATCGGGGATAGAAGGGATTTGCCTGTAAAAAAAAAGTTGGAACCTAACACCCCTACCTCCAAAAAAAGATGTTCGACTTTGGACAATTCCCTTCTTCTTTGGCTTGTCAAAGATTTTATGTTGTTACTAAAAACTTTTACAATCATTTTGCTGACGTGTATATAGTTCTTTTTATTTACTTTGTGAATTAAATGAAGATATCCATATCAATTAATTAAATTCGTTGTTTCAATTATTGAGTTCCCGGTAAAATTTTACACATAGAAGGATATAATCGAATTATCCTGTTTCTTTTAGCATGTTTAGATAGACAGTTATTGAGTTCTAGATATAATGTTACATTTTATTAGCTTTTCCAAAGTTTGTCATCATCTGCAAAAATACATGGATAAAGTTTTCAAGATCTGAATCATTTACTCAAACCATTTTTACCCCCCCCCCCTCTCTCTCAGGCGCGCGCTTTAGCACTGAATCGCTTTTTTTCTTTTACAACCTGTTTTTCAAATCGAATCAAAAAATATAAAATGATACTGTAAACATGTAAATGGCTTTTGGCGTATAAAATTTCGGGAAAAAAACTGATGTGAAGTGTATATTACAATGATTTAGTTAAAAGTACCGAAACATTGTGAAAATCAAATATATTATTACACGTAAATGGCTTATAAAATTTTGGAGAAAAACTTATGTGAAGTGAACGTTGAAATAATTTAAAAAGTACTAAAAATCAAATATATTATGTAAATGGCTCATTCGGGGGAAAAACCATCAGATTGAAACATTGTTATAATTCATAATTTCTCTGCACTGCTGTCTGTATCTTTGAAAAAATTTGTCAATTTAATTTTTAAATTCACTGTAACTTTTATTTATCGTAGTTGGCAAACCGATTTATAAATCTGTTTAGCTCATCCGGAAATTATACCATTATCGCTTTGACATTTATTTTGCCTTCTTCATGGTGATTTCAAAACGAGGCAATAAACAACATGGCTGTCTGACCAGAGTTAGGAATTTAAAATATTGATTTTCTTATGAAGAAGGTAGATAGCCCAATTAATTTCTTTTAGGGGGGCTAATGTTCACAATCTGTTAATCAAAGGAAGGTACGGTGAATTGTTAATACTGACATATTTTCTTTTAGTCGTGTTATTGAATTTGGGAAATATTTGTTATCTAGTTAATCTGTCTCAATAGGACAAGCTAGCCCTCACCACAAACCGGGTCCATAGGACAATATCATCTTAACGATAGAACGGTTCTACCTCTTTGTTAACCTTCCTATGTAGTCCTGCTGGCTCATCCACTAGCTTGACATGCCTGACTTGGCAGTTTCAGTTTTATTGGATCAAGTGGAGTTAACGGATATGTAGTTCCTTATTACGGCGGATATTCTTTCATAGAGTTGTGATTTGGTTATATTTTACTGCTAGAAATTAAAACAGGTCGACAGGTCGGCAGGTAAACATTTGCTAATATACAGGTCGGCAGGTCCGTCACAAGTCGGCAGGTAGACAGGTCGGCAGGTAGAGATGTCGGCAGGTAAAATTTTGCTAATAAACAGGTCGGCAGGTCCGTCACAAGTCGGCAGGTAGAGAAGTCGACAGGTAGGCAGGTAAACATTTGCTAATATACAGGTCGGCAGGTCCGTCACATGTCGGCAGGTAGACAGGTCGGCAGGTAGAGATGTCGGCAGGTCGACAGCTAAGCAGTTTCTGGTTAGTCCTCGCACATTATTCGACAGATTTGGGTTAGTCTAGCATCCATCTGAGAGATTAGGGTTACTCCTCGCGCATTATATTCCTAATTTGGGTTAGTCTTGCATCCAACCGAGGGATTATTGTTAATCCTCGCACATTATTCTACTGATTAGGGTTAGTCTCGTATCCATCCGAGAGATTATGGTCAGTCCTCTCACATTATTCGACTGATTAGGCTTAGTCTCACATCCATCTGAGAGATTAAGGTTAGTCCTCGCACATAATTATACCGATTAGGGTTAGTCTCGCATCCATCCGAGAGAGTAGGGTTAGTCCTCGTACATTATTCTACTGATTAGGGTTAGTCTCGCATCCATCCGAGATATTAGGGTTAATCCTCGCACATTATTCTACTCTCCATTTGGTCCCAGATGGCCGACCTGTCTACCAGTCGATCCGCATACCTGCCGACCTGTCTACCAGCCGACCCGTCTACCTGACGACCTATCTACCTGCCAAACCGTCTACCTGCCGACCTGTCTACCTGACGAACCGCCTACCTACAGATCCCGACCCATCTACCTGCCGACCTGTCTACCTGCCGACCCGTCTGCCTGACGACCTGTCTACCTGCCGAACCGCCTACCTGCTGATCCTGACCCATCTACCTGCCGACCTGTCTACCTGCCGACCCGTCTACATGACGACCTGTCTACCTACCGACCTGTCTACCTGCCTAACCGTCTTCCGGCTGTTCCCAACCCATCTACCTGCCGACCCGTCTACCTGACGACCTGTCTAACTGCCGACCTGTCTACCTGCCGAACCGCCTACCTGCTGATCCTGACCCATCTATCTGCCGACCCGCCGACCTGTCTACCTGCCGACCCGTCTACCTGACGACCTGTCTACCTGCCGACCTGTCTACCTGCCGAACCGTCTTCCTGCTGATTCCGACCCATCTACCTGCCGACCCGTCTACCTGACGACCTGTCTACCTGCCGACCCGCCGACCTGTCTACCTGCCGACCCGCCGACCTGTCTACCTGCCGTCAACCAGCTGTGTACCTCTCTACCTTTTTTGTACACATATACTTTCCGACTGAAATATGCGTATGAATATACAAATATAAATTATTGCGCCGAACTACTTTGTCCGTACTCTCCATTGGTTTGAGTAAGTCTCGGTATTTTAACGAAGAAGTTTCGAAGTAGATGAAGAAGATATGTACAGATATATATTGAAATTTTTATTTTTTTACAGAATGTCGAGGAGTGTAGCGTGGCGTCGCACGTGCAATGACTTGGTGTTCTGGCGACAATGTCAGGCACTGGACTCTACGATCTACATCCTCCGCGAGACCGGGCCAACGGGCTTCCTACTGAAAGAGGAAGGAGAGGCCAAGCCCGTCAAAGTAAGGGTCCCTGATGGTGTTTAAAAACTAATTTGAATGTATATACAATATAGTTAGAATAATCTAACTGTGTCTCGGTACAAGCCCTCACCACAGTTAGAATACGTCCCATATACTTGCAATGTAGCAGATCGGAGCGGATCCGCTCCGAAACGATTTTGAAGAGTATAAAATGATTTGCACTGGGAATAACTACCAAAATAATAAAAACAAACCTTTTTGAGATTGCTTATGCCTTTTATCCCAAAAAATAATCCATCTAAAGACGAAAATCCAATTAATTTTCTCAACGTTTTTCTCTCGATTCAAATGACCTCCATGTTTACATTCGGAACTCTCTAGATTGTTCCTAGTAAATGCACTATGCGAGTTATCGCCCGTGTTTCTTTCTGCTACATTACAAATAAACGGAACGAATTCTATCGTTAAACCGGGTCCGTAGGACAATATCATTTTAACGATAGAACATTCTATCTATATACAATAATTTTTGACCAGTTCTAAATGGGGTATGTGAATGTGAATCTGATTTAAATGCTCCTCATAGTAAACAAATGAAGACATAATTTGAAATTTAAAGTCAAAGTAGTCAAGAGACCTGCAGATTTAAAAATAGCTTAATTGTCATCAAAATTTAATCTTCTAATCTACAGAAACTTTTATTTTAGCATTAGTTTCATAATGAGAATTGTCATGTTATCAGTTGTAAATAGTTATCTAGAAATAACAAAGTTTAATTTAGACATACATATATTGTTGAACTGATTAAGATTCATTATATTTTTTCAGGTGTTTTTAGGGGATCCTCATTCCTGTACTTGTTCAAACTTTATGAAGGATAGAGACCTTTGTAAACACATTTGTTGGCTGATTCTGAAAAAGTTCAAAGTTCCACAGGATAATCCAGGTAGAGTTCTGCTTCTGTTGCATTAAATTCATTAATTTGTTTGCAGCTAGAAAATTTAATAGTCTTTGCTTTTTTTTTAATTATTATTTGTAATACTTTTCAGTTAAATCTCATTTACCAAATAATTTATTAAAACATCTAACGAACTGAAAGGGGAAAAAATTTAAAAAGTGTGATGATATTTCAATGATAAATAGAGGATATCTATATTGTGTGATTTGATATTGGCTTTATCCAACGAGTTGAAATGGTGTATATATTCGCGAGGCTTGCCGAGTCAAAACTGGAAGTGCTATTGATAAAGCATCTACCCATTAAAAAGCATAAGTTTATCCAATGGCCTGTATCACCCACACGTATGAGATAAATGACTAAATTAACGGTATACAAAGTACTTGAAGAAATTTACCTCTTGATCAGCTAAATTGATCATTATCTCAGAGAGAAACTGACTGCAAGTCTCAATAAAACATTTTATTTTGTTTATTAAAATTTTGATAACTATCAATTTAAGCTTTGATAGGAATCATATTTTACTGTTTTACATATACCGGTACATGTATTTACATGTATCAATCACCTTTAATTCAGTCACATGGCAACTTGGTCTAGTGGAGAGAGAAATCAACGAAATTCTGTTTGGCACCAGACAGCGTAAACCTCAGAGAAGGTGGGCAACATCTGCTCCACCGGATAAAACTGGGCAACTTTCCGATGGGAGGCCCACAATTCAACAGAGAGAAATCAAGGAAGAAGACTGCTGTCCAATTTGCCAGGACGAGCTTCTGCAGAAACACCAGCCTGTGACATTCTGCAAGTATGTAAAATGGAGGATCTGACATTCAATAATGACACACTCCCATTTAAGTGCCCCTGACTGATTTTTCACCTAAACAAAACTACATCAATAAGATTTTAGTTTTCAAATTCTGTGCATTGTTACTCCTACAGTCTTGGTTGAATAGTAGACTCAGTACAAAGGGAACTTAATTCTGATTATGGAGGACTTATTCACCCAATAACTACCTACTCCACTTTCGGTGCCCCTCTATGATCTTCCTTTTGAAAAATATTTCTGAAATTTACTTCAATAGGATTTATTCATTGTTTAATTATGTTTTCGACAACCTGTTTTCTTTTATCAGATTTAGTTGCGGGAACAGCATCCACATTAAATGTATGAAGATCTGGGCAGACCACCAGAAATCTTCTGGGGAGAAGACAATTAAATGTCCCTTCTGTCGAGAGGACTTTGGCCCATTTGAACTCCTGAAACAGGAGAGTCGCAATGCCATGGGGGTCCCCACAGGAGGTAGAATGGATCGTCACCTTTACACAAGGTGTCAAAGCTGTCACGCTTCACCGATTGAAGGGAAATGCTACAGGTAACTACAGGATTTGTGGAAAGGGATAAGATTTATATAATAATATGTTTGATGTCACTTTGTTCCAAAAAGAAATTTTAGAAGTGTTCTGAATATAATTTTTGAAATCTTAGAGTAATACTTTTTTAATTGACAGGTGCACAGCATGTACAGATTTCCACTTGTGTCAGACATGTTTCAACACTTCCATTCACACAAGCCACCCTTTTGAATACAGACATGTAAGACCAGCTGTTAAACAATACTTAGAAAATTTGTCAAATTTTGATATCACACCAATTTTCAAATAAAAAAATATTAAAATTAAAAACAATGTTTTTGATTTTTACACTTTATATACCTTTCCAAGTATGTCTTTTAATTCATTTTTACAGAATAGAGAAGTAAAATGCAGCAAATTAAAATAAATTCCCTAAAGTAGCCCTTTAATTTTTTGGTTCATTGATTTTTCTGTAGAAGAGAAATCAGAGATGGCGGCCTGCTCAGAGAACGTATGGAGCAGTTCTACCGGAGGCTGTGGCTAATGACCTGTTAAACAGGGAATTCACTGAGGGGGACTATGAGCTACTGACACAGCTGGACAGGTAAATAATGTAAACCAATTATTATTCGTGAAATCTTTTGTTCGCAATTCTTCAGTTTGAATTCATCAGCCTTGAGAATACAAATTTGGCGAGTAAGACAACATGTTCTACATAAATATATACTTAGGTGAAGAATTGTTCTTGACACAAAAAAAGTCGCAAGTAAAAGAGAACATTTTATTTAATAGTAAATGCAATAAAAAAGTACATACTTATAACAATTACATGTTAGTTAAGGTTGAGGGTTTAATGAAGATTCATTCATCAAGGATTAAAATCACAGTTTTTCCTCAAAGGCACTGCATGTGCAGAAATATTACATTTTCAGTGTGAATACATTATGCCTTCCATATCACTGAAATAAGGAATCCCACTCTTGTACTAATGTTTACCCCTGAAACTTTCATAGTTTTGAAATTAATAAAGAAAGAAAATATTACAATACATCAATTAAATTATCAAAATTATTAACAAAACATGTACAAGAATTAAGCTGTAAATGTAATCTGTTATATATTTTTAGCAATGCCAACCAGCAGCCCAGTGACATACCAGAGGACGTAATCCACAAGTTTCCTCTGGAGAAAGTCCGAGAGCGGGGACCATTACTGGCACCGGGCTTGCAGTGCCGAATTTGTCTCCGGGGTTATGAGGTCAACCAGTATGTCAGAAAGTTACCACGATGCAAACACAAGGTAGCAGCTTATTCTTCAATTTTAAGAAATTGAAATAAAATGGTTACTTTGTGAAAGCATACCGCAAGTAGACTTGTGATTAGCATTTGGCAAAAGTTTATGAATGTGTATAAATGCAGGGCTGTAAACTCCCAATATTTATATATAGGACTATATATGGTAAGAGTCATTTTAAGCCAAATAGATCAACATTTTTAAATTGAATTCAGATATGTGAAATTGTTTGTCATTTTCTTGAAGAGTTTATGTTTGAGATATTTTCAAATACATTTGTCTTCTAATTATTTGTAAACACTTTTTATTTGTTCTGACTTTTTGTTTTGTCATATGAACTTTATTTCCTTTTTTTCCAGTTTCACAAGGAATGTATAGATAACTGGCTCCTTCACTCCCACCCCACATGTCCAGTGGACGGTCAGGTGGTCTGGGACCCAGTCACTGCTCAGTTAGAGGCGGAGGAACAGGCTGAAAGAAATCAAAGGTATCGATGAACAAACGTTTTACGTTTTCTATCATTATTACTCCCCCACCCCCCACCTCCCATTAAAGATGATTACTGAACACACACTTTGGGTTTCTTTATTACCACCCCCCCCCCCCCCCCCCCCCCCCCCCCCCCCTGACAAAAATTTTTGTGGAATCATTTTAATTTTGGGAGGCTGGGGGTCATATTGTTCATTAGCAAAATTGTGTTAGTTAATTGGGTGGTAATTCATGGGTGACTCATAAATTCAGATGATACAATAAATAGATATTGATGAAATAGTTGTTCCTAGGATGTTGAAATAGTTGTTCCTAGGATGTAAATTCATGGATAAAGGTGACCCAAAAAAAATCCACAAACATTAGTCCCCTTTGGATAATGATGATTCCACAGTAACCTTAATCTTATATTACAGAGCTTCTGCTGCATCAAAGAAAACAAATTCCTCTGGTATACAAGGGAATGATGTGAGTGAACTCAGTATACCAGGGGTGGGGCTAGTGAGAGTGGACAATACCCCTGTAGAGAGGTCCAGCAGTTTACGGGGGAGGAAGATGGCACAGCAAGGTCGTTTACAAGGGAGGCCAACAGAAGATTCAGCTGTGGATCCACTGAGGGCTAGCTTTACACTTAATGGGCTGTCTGTTGGTGCTAATGGGTAAATTATCTTACACAGCAAATCTTGATTATTATAGAATAAGGTATAAATGTAAATTATCTTAAAATGTATATCTTGCTTATTCTGGAATAAGGCAAGATATAATGTAGGTATAATTCTCTAGTACTGGGTAAAGTCTTTTAGAAGTACACGCTGAAATTTAATGTGCATGTACATACAGCATTCATCAACTTTAATGTGCAAGTATTGGAATACCCTGTCTCATTGAAATAAATAAAGATGTACTTCAAAGAGATTTGATATTTTTTCTCTTTTCAGAGGTGAAGGGACGGAAAACATGTCTACAACTACTACTTTACCAGGAGGTCGTTTGCTGGGCCGCTTACAACATCGAAAATCCTCCCTCAACCAGCGTCTGCAAGAAATCGGTGGCCAGTCAGATGAACAAAAACACACAGAGGAGGCAGATCATCAATCCCAGTCCTCAGAACACTTTGCAGGTCAGAATCTTCACAGGCAAAATTCTCGTCGCAGACGAAATCTCTCAGATGAACTATCTCACAATGAAGACTCACATGAGATAGGATCAGAAGCCGTGATAGAGTTACCTTTGGGTCATAAAAATGACCGCTCTACTACACATAATGCTATCAAAAACACTTTATCAATGTTACAAACAGAAAATTTGGCAAATTCAGTGTCTAAGACACCAGACTCGAGTCGATCTTCTCGCTCCCCGAGCGTGAGATCTTTACTTCATAGTAGACCATCCGAGCTTCATTCTCCTAATAAGGATTTACCTCCGCTTTTCGAATCGGACGAGACTAATCCTAATGCGGACATTGACACAATGTCCACTGTAACTAGCCAAGGGGCAAGTAGTTATCGCAGTGGAAAACATCGTTTTTTCCAGCGAGTTCCTAAAGAGAACACTCCAGCTGTTGTAAATGATTTTGATGTCTTGTTAACGTCTCTACGTTCATCTCCAGATTCCAGAGCAAGCCTCATGGGGTCACACACAAGTCTCAGCAGCATTCGCTCAACACGGCTTGCAAATGGAGTTATTCTTGCTGAGGCACAGGATGAGGGGCCTGAGGGTGGATTGTCTCGGGGTCACTCAGGTGGCCCCAGGACCGGTCTGCCCCCCAGGGCCCCAAGGCTGACAGGTATTTCTAAGGGAGCTAACTCTGCATGCATTTCTTCTTTGAGGGGATGTTTGTCTTATGTCACAACCTTTGCTTAAAAAAATGCTTGAAATTTTCTTTAAAATCTTCACAATCAATCATTTAGAAATAAAAATTAGAATTACTGGACGGGAGACAAGCATACCCATTAACCCTTCTTTTGTAGCTAACAACCTGCATTGCTAAATGTTGTTTCAGTAGTTAATGTGTTATAGACATCCTTTATGTATGAATCCAAAAAAATAATTCACTGTTATTTCTTATCCTCTCTTTCAGTCTTTCTTTATTGTACTAGTCAATAGAATGGAACATGGCACTTTGCTGATTTTATTTTTTATATTATGAAATATTTTTAAAGAAATGGATGTACATGATTGTATTTCACTTTTGATAACAGTACATAAAAGCTAATATAAATTAATGATGAGTTTATTTAATTTTGTCATATACATTGTACAAATAACACATGTAATACAAAGAGAGATTTGCTTTGTAGAGTTACTGTAGATATATTACTTAATTCTCTCTCTGACATTGTTTGATTTTTTTTAATAATGTATCATTCATGCATACTTAATTTTAAATAGTACATGATATTCTATCATGTCATTGATGTGACATGGCTTTGGCATGATTGTTATAATATAAAAAACACTTTTGTTCTTTATTGATTAAATTATTGGGGTTTATTGATTAAAATCAAAATAGCAGATAATCAAAAACATTAGGTTTACATTCAAAATGTTAAAATGTTAAAATGTAGCACAAAGTAGCTGAAGCAAGGACACTATGAATGAGTTGTATCTAGTATATATATAATATTAAAATTTTTCAGTGCTGATTTAAACTAAACTAATGCATTTATTAACACTATATATTTATTTAGAACATGAGCGACAGTTAAGGAGAGGGTCCAATAGCCAGGAAGTTAATCAAGCAGGGGTCCAGAACCAGCAGGAGGACCAGCTAATGGAGCGATTACAGGTTAATACTACCTTAAATTCCTCATTTTTAAAATATATTAAAAATGTTTCATTTCATACATTTTGAACATTATGACTTTTTTATTGAGGATTTAAAAACCTGTTAGCATGGTATTAGGGAGTCTATAAAATTTGAACCCAGCTCTTTAAGATTTTATAATGTGACAACCATTGTTCCACCTTTTGAATATCAAGAGTTAAAATTTAAGATATTCTTAGAGTAGAATCACCGCAATGCATATGTATTTAAGAAATACAATATTGGCAGAGATATTGTTTAAAATACTATATGCAATTCAATTATCCATTTACATTTATGAAGTACATACTTGAAACACGTTTACAAGTTCTGCTGTATAATTTTAAGCAGTTAACATTCATTTGGATGATGATTAATGGAAAGAAACTGAACGAGATTTCATTCAAAATGTATTAAATTTAATGCTGATATAATGAATTTGAAATTTTGCAATTTGTTGCACAATTTAAATTTTGATTATCTCCCTTTTTCCAGCTCTTCACTGACCTTTACCTTGGCAACAGTCCAACTGCCTCTCCAGACTATCAAGGGAGAGCACCCAGACTTGTACGTCGTCAAATTAGTAATCCTGCTGCAGTACGTCAGAGAAAGAGAGAAAATGAAATCCGTAGGAGGAGAACAAACGAGTTTGGATTGGAGGGAACAAGCCCGTACAATAATTTAACTCTGCGGGACATTATTCATTAATGTTAAGTGATAAAGTAACTGTGATTTGGACAATTTACTCTGAAAGTGAAACTGAAACAGATTGTTTTATTAAATCTGAAAATTGAAAGCTAGTATTTTCATATATTTATGGAATCTCTAGATATACTTTAAAGAATTGTTATTTTTATCCAATTGACTGCTATATGGAAAGTGCATTACAAATTGTATTTAAAAATTTGTTTTTTATATTGTGTGCCACTGGACATATTTTGCTTCTATACCCATATTTATATATTCAGACATGCTTTGCTGTGATCATTGCTCAATTTTCGAGAAAAAAAAACCAAAACACATTTTTAAATTATGATACGGAGGTTAGGATGAAAGAAATTGAATGTCAGAGTTGTTATATTATCCTGAATCAGTATTCAAGAGAAGTTGCAATATACTGTAGATTTTAGTGATTTTATGGAATAATGTTATGGATAATGGTATTTTTGATTTTTAAAAAGTACATGTATTATCTGAAAACTGTGATATATTGTTTACAGTGATTTTTTTCTTATACAGAGCAATATACCTGGAGATTCCATCCAACATAAATTTGACTTTTATATTCATTTTGTTTTTGCCTTTCTGAGAGAGAGAGTGTGAGAGAATACTGTATGTGTACTTAAAAAAGCGGGCTTCATATTTTAACAGCTTTGGCACAGACAATGATGCGTTAATTCATGAATACCGCTTAGAAATCTCATTTATATATACAAAACACAGCACAGACATAAGTAGCGCTAATTCATGATTACACCAACAACTCCATACCCATTGCGCTAAATTTTGAATATACGCCAATTTATGTACACGTTCAGTAATTGACAACAAATTGTTGCATGTATACTGAGTTGCAAATGTAATTATTACATATAATAATTGATATGCTGAAAAAGAGTTGAAGAGTTAACTTATATATTACGGATTTTTTTAGGGGGTGAGTGGCGTGGGGGTGGGGTATGGTAATAATGTTAAAAGTTTGGTGTATATGGAAATTTTAAATAACAATGCATGTTAAATTCACCTCACGGCTTTGTATTATATTCACCAGTATACTTACGATTCAGCTGGTATAGTAATAATCATTAACAAGTACATTGTATTTGGTATATGCATCAAATGGTTTTGCAGTATTACAATAAAAAAATCTTGTAAAACAGTCTAGTCAATCTTGAAAAAAAAATTGAGCACATCTTGCATTGGAAAAAAAATGTGATTGATAAGTGTACATTTATTTAAAATATTTGTTAAAAATAGAAAGGGAAAGCATGGTGTTGGAATGGTTTAATTAGCTCAAGATTAATAAAGAAAAAAGGCACAGCTCTGTAAATCTTTCCAAATTTTGCTATTGATAAATTGGAGGTGAATTGCTATTTTTCATAATACATGTAATGTGATGTACTTTTAACTGAACATTTATTCACATAGATAATATGAACATACAATCATGAGTGATTTTAATTGTATATTTTTTTAAAATCAAAGACCAAGGGCTTATTTTTTGAGACAGTGTTGATTTTATTTGATTATTAATGTGTCCTTATTATTTTTCTGTTTGGATGATTTGGGTTATGTGTTATAGTTTTGTTGAAAAATAAAGATTTGTTAACCATCATCAACCAATCACACTGAAGAAAATCAAAATTGGCATCAAAGTTGAATGACATTATCAAGAGGAGATAATAGCATGAACCTCTGGGAATCTTTTCCTGTGCTTGAAAATTTTCAGATGATAAACAGTTATTTTCCCTTCTTAACTTTATGTAGGAAATATTTTAATAGTATGATAAAAATGAAAGACCATCAATATTCCTTGGAAGAGTTATTAATGGCTGTTTTTCTACAAATCTGGTTCAATTTCCCTAAATAAGGAGTTTTCTTCATTGAATATCACATATCTATCATATTATATGTGATGATAAAGAGATTTTTTTTTTTTTAAATTATAAAATATACATGTTCATCGCAAATGAAATGTTAAAAATTAAGGAAAAGTGCGTGCACTGTTTTCTTTTTTTTTAATGACACCAGTTAAAGGACTAATACAGGTATTTGTTCACCAAATTTCTTTTTATTTTATTGAAAATTAAGAAATGTAAAGTAAAAAACGGTGACAAACCAGAACATGGTTCATATTGGGGTTATTTTTATTGGTTTCTCACAATACCTAATCGCAATGGGTTTGGTAAATATTAAGTATTTCATGGAAAAGTAATAAAATAAAGTACTAAGAATTCAAAATTCAGGCACGTGTAAGCATTTCCTTGAGTACACTGTATATATACTGAATAATTTAGATGGTACTACAGCTGTATATGACCTGTATTCGAATTCAAGTCAGCCAGCTCAGTATTACTTTAGATTTATGCATGTTTTATTCGTTGTACATTGGTAGGTGTAATACACAGAATCCAAATTTTCAAATCCGATTCAATTTTTACAAGACATATTAATGATTACTGATAAATTAAACCTGGTGAAATTTCAGTTAGACCTGTATACGAAGTCAAGTGCATATACCAGGCAGCTCAGTAAATGCATGAATGTACTACATGTATAGATTATTCGTGGTACATTAGTATTTTACCGATATAATACAAAAAAATAAATAAAAAAAACAACAAACAAAAACGAAAAAAGAAGCAAACAAAACAATTTTTCAAATCCGATTCGATAATGCACAAGACACATCAGTCAGCCCTGATGAAATTTCAGTTAGTTCATGTTTATGGTTTTAACCCAAAAAGAAAGCGCTATAATCGAACCCATTACTTTTATCTCATGCATACTTTTTAACTTTTCTTCTTTTCATAGCTCAGAAATATACAAGATCAAGTTTAGTTACCGGTGCTCAAGATTTATTTTGTTAATAGAAAAATGACAGTGACAATTTCAGCATAAATACGTTCATCCAGGTTTTCAATAATAACCCTGAAAAAAAGATGAAATATTAAAATTTCATACCCTCAAAGTAGCATGTTTTTGGAAAATAAAATAAGAATAAAATCATTTATTACCATAAGAACCATCGTAGTTTATTCTATTACCTTGGTTCCTACAACAGAAGAGATTCCTCCGTATCCCATGTTACCATATCCACTGCCTACTAATCCTTTGCCTCCAAGGACAATTCCTCCTATTCCTTTAGCACCGTAGTTTCCGCCAAGTACACCCTTTCCTCCCAACAAGACTCCTCCGTATCCCATGTTTCCATATCCACTGCCTACTAATCCTTTGCCTCCGAGGAGAATTCCTCCCATTCCTTTTCCTCCTACCAAAGGTCCTCCATATCCTATGTTACCATAGTTACCGCCCATCCATCCTTTTCCTCCTACCAAGACTCTTCCATATCCTATGTTACCATAGTTACCGCCCAATAATCCTTTTCCTCCTACCAAGACTCCTCCGTATCCAATGTTACCATAGTTACCGCCCATTAATCCTTTTCCTCCTAACATGAGTCCGGTATTCCATGATCCACCATACCCTTTGCCCCAAGTGCTGATTCCTCCATATCCTTGGTTTCCAAGGATGACATTTCCTTTGCCTATGCCCCCAAGTCCTTTGACGTCATAGATGACTGTACTAACTCCTAAGTTGTTTCCCTTTAATCCACTGTAGGATGGGACATAATAGTCATCAGCGATAGCTATGGCCAGCAGAGCTAGACAGCACAGCAGCTTGAACATCCTATAGAAAACATGGTATGGTTACAGAAATGATAAAACCCACATGTGCAAGGGATTCAAAGTAAAGTCAGGAGGTTCATCCCCCCCCCCCCCCCCCCTTTCAAATTAAGATTCTACAGCTAAGAAAAAATACTTATTTTTTTATGTTCGCTCATGTATTCCATAGCATAATCAAGCTATTGGTATTCTCAAATCAATTTTAAGTCAAGTTCATTGAAATGAAATCGTTTTTTTTCTCTAAAAAAAGTACAGAATTATCAAAACCCTGTTTTTCAGCTGGTATTGCTTTAATGTTAAGACTAATATTAACATAATGAATTTTTTCAAAAGACATGGGACTATATACAATAAAACGTTTTTGTGAAAATTTTATCTGCTACTATTTCATTTTTAGCTCACCTGAGTCGAAGGCTCAAGTGAGCTTTTCTGATCAAAATTTGTCCGTTGTCTGTCGTCGTTGTCGTTGTCGTTGTTGTTGTTGTCGTTGTCGTCGTAAACTTTTCACATTTTCATCTTCTTCTCAAGAACCACTGGGCCAATTTCAACCAAACTTGGCACAAAGTATCCTTGGGTGAAGGGGATTCAAGTTTGTTCAAATGAAGGGCCACGCCCTTTTCCAAGGGGAGATAATCATGAATTTGTTAAAAATTAATGGCATTTTTAAAAAATCTTCTCCAGAACCGCTGGGTCAGGAGAGATGAAACTCATGTGGAAGCATCCTCAGGTAGTGTAGATTCAAGTTTGTTCAAATCATGACCCCCGGGGCAAGGGTGGGGCCAAAATGGCCGACCCAAGTTTTACATAGGAATATATAGGAAAAATCTTTAAAAATCTTCTTCTCAAGAACCACTAGGCTAGGAAAGATGAAACTCATGTGGAAGCATCCTCAGGTAGTGTAGATTCAAGTTTGTACAAATCATGACCCCCGGGGCAAGGGTGGGGCCAAAATGGCCGACCAAAGTTTTACATAGGAATATAAAGGAAAAATCTTTAAAAATCTTCTTCTCTAGAACCACTGGGCCAGGAAAGATGAAACTCATGTGGAATCATCCTCAGGTAGTGTAGATTCAAGTTTGTTCAAATCATGACCCCCGGGGCAAGGATGGGGCCAAAATGGCCGACCCTAGTTTTACATAGGAATATATAGGAAAAATCTTTAAAAATCTTCTTCTCAAGAACCACTAGGCCAGGAAAGATGAAACTCATGTGGAATCATCCTCAGGTAGTGTAGATTCAAGTTTGTTCAAATCATGACCCCCGGGGCAAGGGTGGGGCCAAAATGGCCGACCCAAGTTTTACATAGGAATATATAGGAAAAATCTTTAAAAATCTTCTTCTCCAGAATCACTG